TTTAATACCAGAATTCTGACTTTTTTCTCAGAATTCTGACTTTAATACCAGAATTCTGACTTTTTTCTCAGAATTCTGACTTTAATACCAGAATTTTGACTTTTTTCTCAGAATTCTGACACTAAAAAAGTCAGAATTCCGACTTTTTTCCCCATACTAAACTGAAATAAAATTTAAAAATCAGTTAACTTTTTTTTTCCCAGCAGCCCTAATCCTCTTCCGTAGAAATGACAATAAAAGCTAGAAGAAAAATAAATTGGCAGAACAAGCAGTTCCCACTTAAACCAGACGGTGGCAGCAGTGACTAATCACAGTTTTAGCATCAGACTCAAAAAGTCCAGAAATATCATACTGAAAACAAAAATACGGAAACATAAGAAAATGGAATGTTGTTTGTTTGTTTGCAGGCTTATTTGAAAAGTTATTCATGGATTTGATTAACTTTTTACCAGAAGTGTCCCTCATTAAAATGTGGTAATGATCCAGATAATGTGAAGTTATAAAGTCACAATATGGGGCGACTGCTTTTCTAGTTTATTAGGCTTTAATTTACTGATTCAAACAGGCAACAATTAAAAGTCTTTAAACAAAAAGTGGGGTTTAGCCTTTTTTTGATCCACCTGAAGGTTATCATCACTGATTTGTAAAATTTCACTGATTAAATAATAAAATAAAGATTTTTAAATCTGTTGTTTATTTTAACCCAACCTCCCCTCCACAGTAAAATCCTTTTCTATGGTTTTGAATACGCAGCGGACTGAAGGTCCACATATCGCCTGTTCCTGCGGGACGAGGAGGCAGGCGGACAGACACAAACAGCAGGAACAGCTTTTAGTTTAAGTTTTGCTGGACTAACATCCGATATTAGGATTTTTTTTACTGACTGCTTATAGATCTCCCTTTTTATCGCTTTGAAACGACTTTTTAAATCTAATGAAAAGGAGTTTTTTTTTTTTTTCTGTCTCATGCATGTTGGTAATAAAAACCAACAGAAGGAACCCAGATTATCCAGTTAATCTGGACATGCAGGATACTCACTGCCTCACCTCTTTTACAGTTCTGATAAATTTGCTTTTTATAGAATAAGTTTTTAAAGGGTGGACCTTTGATGGTTACTTTAAATTAGTCACTGTATAGAAAATGGTGGTTTCAGCCTTCAGTAGACATAAAAACACGAAAGCATCAATGACTGTAACAGAGACGCGCCTAGGTATGGGGAGTTGTTCTTTTCTGCTTCTGAAAGATAAAAATATCATCAGAAATTTGTGTTAAAACAGGAAAGTAATCTTTTAAATCCGAGGAATCTTTTATATTTTTATTCTAACATAAAGACAACAAATCAATTCCTGACCAAGCTTCAGAAAGGAGCAACAAATGTTCCTGTTTTAGTTTTTAAAACCTAAATACAGAACTCCAAACACTGATTAAAGGTTATCTGTATAAACATGCTGATAAGGGAAAACAAAGGATACTCCAGTGCATTGTCGGGTTTGTCTTGTTCTTCATAAAGAGCGACCAAAACTGGAAAACAGAAATTTTGAGAAATTAAAACAGCAGTAAAAATGACAACAGGCCTTCGCAGCGCTTCGCTGATCGGGCCTAACTATACTTGTTACCACAAATGTGTTTCATTTATGACAAAGTTGTTTTTTTTGTTATTAAACTTTCAGTTTTGGGGGAATTAAGGGAGATAAAATGTTAATTAATAAAGAAAAAAAAAATGAACTTAGATTTTTCTTCTTTCGTTAATCGTTCATTTTAAAGTTTTTATGCCCAAAATGAGAAGATTAAGTCATGTTATATCAACACAGGCTGATCAGATCAGAAATACTTTCCTGATCCCAAAGGGAAATGAAATGGCTCCATTCGTCAGATTGATCGATCATAAAGAGAAAGATGTCCTGAAAACACCGTCTTCATGAAGCAAACTGCCATCAGCAGTTTGCTTCATGATGGTCTTTAATGCAGGAAAGTAGGAATTAATGCAGCCGAAGGAACAGTTTTTGTAAACGGTCTAGGGGTTGGGGCATAGGGCTTATAGGGCTTTGAATCCTGAGATTGAGAGTTCGATCTCCCACTCCCCCAGACTGCCACTCTGGCTCCCTGAACAAGACCCTTAACCCCACACTGCTCCCCAGGCACCGCACAATGGCAGCCCACTGCTCCCCAGGGGGATGGGTTAAATGTAGAGATAAATTTCTCCAATGTGAGATTAAAGATGCTATGACCGAAAACATTTGATTGACAGATGACCGCTGATTTATGATTGGCTGAATTTAGGTGTTCAGGATGTGTTTAGCTGTGCAGAAGATAACCGGAAAAAAAAAAAAAAAAAAAAAAAAGGTTAACCTGGTAAAATTTTTTTTTTTTAAATAGAAATTTTCTAAATTGTTCAGACAATATAGTCTTATAAAGAGTACATTTATATACATGTTTAATCCAGAAGGGTTTGAAATTTAAATAGGACTTGCCTACGACTTTAAGCCATTGATTAATAAAACAGTCCCACTAACTGATTGATCAGGTGTTAGTGTCACTAACCGCTGGTTAACGTGTCCAGAACTCCAGATTTCTCCAGGTATCTCCTAAACTGTTCCCGCCTCGATTCTGAGGACTGAAACAAATAAAAAGATCAAGAAAAACACGTTTGAAATCTGATTAAAGCAGCTTCAGGTATTTTAAATAGACATAAAGGCTGAACATCATTCAGGTAGAACTCGTGGTGCGTTCACTGCCAGGCAACGTTCGCTGCTAACCAGTTAGCTCATGCTACAACAGCATAAAAAGATAAAACAAACAAAAAATAGCAGCATTAAAGAATATATTAACAATTGACACAGAGAGCGCCCCGCAGTCTCACCCTGTAGCCGGCCATGGCTGCTGTTTTACAGGTTTATATGGAGGTGGGGAAGAGAGCTCCAAGCTGAGCCTCAGACGTTAGCCGATGTTGTGTTGATTTCCGCCTACAAACAGGCGGTCCGTTGCCCCTAGCAACGCGGGGAACAAAACCCCCAATCTGCTGTATAAGAGTAATTATAAAATAAACTAAATGTAACTTTAAGCGTATAATATCCTCTAAGTTTTGTTCTTTGTGAAAATTATAATAAAATAAAATTATATATAATAAAAATAGGCTCCTATAAAAAAAGTAAATAAGTTTCGTTATGGAATTTTTATTATTTTTAATTTCATTTTTTTATGTTTATTATAAAACTTTAAAATTAAATAGTTCTGAAAAAAGGGCGAAATTTTAATCCTTACTAGATTTTTTTTTTATGTTTTTTTTTAATGTTCGTTCATATTTATGAAGAACCAATATTACAAATAACTAAAGCGTTGGTTAGTAAAACAGGAACCACTTTGAAGAGAGAACTACTCAGCTGTTTGTGGTTTAATTTATTTAAAGCTTTGGTTAACTTCCGCACAGCCGCTGCTGCCGGAGCACAACGAACCAATCACAGGCTTCAACGTCACAGCTGTCAGCACAGATTGACAAATCATCAGCGCGCTCTCTTTCGGCTGTCAAATGAAAAACAGCTGCTGGTCGATGGTTTTGAAATCTGTTTTTCCGGAATCTTTGTTCCTCATGTGACTTTTTGTTGTAAAACAACAGCAGCTTCTTCTAGTGTTTGTCCTGCCGGGAAAAAACCTTTTGCTTATTTGTTTCAGTTCCGCTAAGAAGGTAAGATCTGTTATTATAATGCTGTTAAAGGTTATTTAGCAGAAACGTTTTTATTTCCGTGAAGTTGTGGAGTTTTTACATTACTTTATTATGTAGCTTCATGTGTTTTTACGTTTTTTGTGTTTCTCTAACTGCATTTTTATGTTAGATTTCTTAATTTTAGCCAAAATGTTGTGAATAACTTCTCTTTTGACGTTACTCCCTGTCATTAGGGGTAAACCCAGTGTTAATTATTTACACATAGAGTAATCTCTAATTTAATGCTAACTTGTTAACTTTAGCAGTGTTTTTTTTGTCCACTGATAACAAAAAACAAAGTTTTGTAAATAAGAATAGATTTTCTCCCCAGTATTTTGCATCTGGATCAGCTTTGTGTATATTTATTTTGAACCGGTTTGAACTGTTCACACAGGTTGACTTGAATCCTGCCAATCCTGCACTAGATTAGGATGCATTCCTCTCTCCTCTCATTCTGCCTTGACTTTATTTCTGTTTCTGTTCAAATAAGAAACGATGAGGTGCCTTGGAAGGAGGATTTAATTAAAGAAAAATAAAAAAAATATATGCAAACCTTTCCTCAAGAGAGCTCACATACAGTTCCCTGTGTAAGATTGTTTTAGGGAAGTTAGATATCATCTTAAGGAAATAAACATGATAAAAACCACCGGCGCTTCTAGACAGGGGGCCAACGGGGGACCGGTGCCCCTCTAGATCATGTCCTGGTGTTAATTTCATCAGCTTTTTAAAATATTTTTAATTTAGTCTTAGTCAAATTGACGAAAATCAATTTTAGTCTTAGTGAAATTTTAGTTTTTCTAGTCAACACTGTAAATAATAGAACTTCTCCATTCCCAGCTTCTCTTTTTCTCTGTTTTATTTAAATAACACTGTAAATAATAGAACTTCAAACACCGATTCTCTTTTTATTATATATCTCACTGCTCACATTGAACCTTTTGTCGGCTTGTTTCATCATATCCACAAAGTCTTCATCCTCCATGGTCGTTGCAGGCAGGCCAGAGCGCCCAATCTTTACCACTGAGTTCTCCAGGGCTTTCTGCTCTTTGGCGTCAGGTTTGTACGGTGGGGGGGCTCCCA